GGAGGGCTTCTCTGCCTTCAAGCAGATCAACGCTTGCCCCCAGCTTGGTGTCATTGTCCAGATCAACACTTGCCCCCAGCTTGGTGTCATTGTTGTGTTGTGTCATTGGACAAAACAAAACTAAGTTCTCTTGCAAATTTTCAGATAGGTAAGCTAGTATATAAGCAGGGACTTACATTGACGCAGAGACTTCAAGCAGTAACAGGAGTACTGTTGAGCTAGTTAAATGCAAATAAGCCTTGCTTAATATTAAGTATGTTTAGAAGACTTGTAGGAAAAAGCATGAAAATACCTGTCGGTGTGCGAGTGGGCTGTTTGTTCTTAACCTGAGTAGTCCGGGGGGAAGCAGAGCTTTGCGAATATTAGGAATAGTTTTATATGGCAAATAAGCCACTTGATTAGCAGCTTAAGTTGTTCCTATTTTTCTTTGTAAATAGCTTACTGAAAGCGGACAGGCAGCAAGTGAGAACGTTTATTGTACCAGAACTGCGCTCGGGTGATGGAGGCCAAGGTGCACGTTGCTGTGTTGGGTTTGCCTGCCTCTCTCACGGCCAACAAACACCTGGAGGTTTATTCCTACATCCCTTTTCTCCCTGCAGTGTCTCTGCTGTTTGGAGGTCACAGGTCTGACAATCCATTTCATTGGTTGATGCTTTTTATTAATGTTTTTAATGATGTGTTAACTTTTTATGGACATACTGAAATACTCATTTGTTCTGTCTGTAGCACTTCTCTATTCAAAAAAAAAAAAAAAATTGAATTAGTGCTAGAGAAGCACACGCACCCCAGGTGAGAGAGGTTCTGTTCTCTTCTAATAACTTGGCTTTTTACCAGATACTGTAATACATTATTTTTTTCTTCAGCAGAAGGCTAAGGGTATAAATTGAATCCAAGTAGATGAATCGCTGCCATCAGTTTAGATGCGCTTTGCCTGCATCCACAGGGCAGCAAGCAGAGCTGAGACAGCGGTTCAATTAAGATTGTGGTATAAATAAATCCACTCTATTGTTATAGAGGCTTTTGATTTTAAAATTCTTCCATAGAATAGAGTGAGCTGACAAGACGGGCTTGAATGGTGCTCTCATCCTGTTTGTACAAAAAGTTATTAGGCTAGGGTAGGTCTGGGGCAGTGGCAGAGCAGCCTCGCTGCTTAGATGACTTCTTTCCCTCGCCTGTTTCATTCAATAAATGCCTGTTTGCTTGCTTTGATCCCCAGCCATAAGCATGTTCCTTTTCTTTGCCTTTTGGAGGCTCATAACTTTGCAGGCTTCACCTCACGAGCTCACTTCTCCTCTAAAAATCAAGCAGTCACGAGTGGTGCAGTCTCCTGCCACTGCTCTGGAGAATTTTGGGTGCATTATAAGGCCACATTGCGAGCTGTTCCATTGAATTATTTTATACTGTCAGACTGCATATCAACAACCCTTTCTCTCCATAGTTTAAAAATAACTTGATGTTATCTCCTTTACAAGGACTTGGAAACTGTTGGCATTTAAATTTGTCTTCCCTTGAAAGCATTGCAGTGCCTTTGACTTCCCAGCTATGCTGAGGGGTAGAAAGCTCTAGTTGTTGTAAAGAGCCCGCTCTCTTCTTGTAATTGGTGTAATGTACCTTAAATACCCCTGTGCTCGGGAGTTTTCAAGCTATCTGTATGTGAAATCGGTGTACACAAGCTTTCTTAGCTGCTGTTCAGAACTTGCTGCCTGGTTCACAAATGCTCTGGTTTCTTGAAAAAAAAAATATGGGATGGGGACAGCAGAGACTGAAATGGAAAAAAAAAAAACCAGCTACTGAGTGGAAGAACCTTAAAAGACACCTCTCAAAGTAGGAGGTTGATTGATTGCTTAATCAAGAGACCTTCAGGAGGGCTGGCTGCTGATCGTAGAAACCTGGAGACTGAGGGCAAATGCTACCCCCAGGCCTTTTGTGGGAGGTGTAGCAAACGAGTCTTGCTGAGGCTGATGCTGCTGAGACGAGGTGGTTGTCTGTGCACATCCGCCCTGCCCTGCCTGCACTGACACGAGCTGCAGGCAGGAGCTCCTAGGAAGCAGGTTGACTTCCCTGCCTGCTGGATGTCTATCAGATTTCTCTCGAGCCCTTCCAGGCTGCGAAGGCAGCGATGACATTAGCTGTTTATGACCTGCTGCCTGCCTTTCGCTCTGATGTATTTCATGTGCAACCTCAGGCTTTTCTCATTTGCAGCTTAACTTTGTTATGAGGTGACTGCTTTTACTTCCAACTTCATTGCTATCTATTACAAACTTGCCCTGCAGTTCAAGAAGGAAGGTGCCTCTGTTCCCACAAGCAACTCTAAGTGGAAGTCACAGCGTGTGTGGTTTTTACGGTACTGATGATCTATGTTTTGACCCTCTGTTGTTACTCAGGGAATTTAGAAGGTTTTTTCCACAAATACTGGTTTGCTCTGCATTAACATTTAAGAGTTCTCCAAGCTGCCCTATACAGGAGCTAAGAAATGCAGCAATGCAACCTAAAGAAATCTATGGGCAGTCGTCCAGTGGTACATCGTTCATACAAGGTACAGCTGAGTGTTAAGCACGTGTCTGCTTGGATGTTTGAGTACAGCCTAATGTAGATGGTGTGATTGAACTGGAAAACCTCTAAAGCATTTGAACGAAGATCCTGGCTGCTGGAAGGGAGATTGTGCTACCCCAAAAAGTCCTGTTTCTGTAAATGGAGATGCGGGTGTGTTTTGAGGGGATTAGAAAATGGTGCCTGAGAGCAAGAACTCCACACTGTTGTGTGTTTGCCAGACCTGACCAAGGTGCTCTGAACAGGGTATTTGTTAACTGCAGGTTGTGGTTATCAGCTCTGCCATACAGGGGTGTTTAGGTGGTAAAATGCCCTGTTAGTAAGCACATGTTGTTTTTACAAGGTTCTCAACTTGTGCTTTTGTTCTTTAGTATTGAGTTTGACCGAGACTGTGACTACTTTGCCATCGCTGGAGTGACGAAGAAGATTAAAGTCTACGAGTATGGTACAGTCATTCAGGATGCAGTGGACATTCACTACCCTGAGAATGAAATGACCTGTAATTCCAAAATCAGGTAGGCGTTGACTTTGCATTTAAACTCAGGGGGCCTTTTCCGTTTGCTTGTTCATGTGCAGTAGCTGTTTTGCTTCCTTTTATCCTTTGTGGGAATGGGAGGGGAAAGGAGGAAAGCAGGAGCCGAAGGAGAGCTTGCTTTGGACTCCAGGTGGGATCAGCTGGCACAAGCCCTGTTACTTGTGTATGCCAGGCTCATCCAAGGTAACAGCATGCCCGTGCATCTGGAGGAGAAAGGGACGTAGTGCAGTGAACTGCCAACAGCGAAAGCTGTTGGATACCAACTCAGTTAAAAAGAGAGCAAAAGCAGAGTAGTGGATATGCCCCAGGTAAAGTCTTAGCTTGTCTCAAAGACACTTACATGCCCAGTTCATTATAATGTCCACCAATCCCTTCATGCCCTATTCATCAGCCAGATCCTTTCCATTCTACTAGTCCTCAGGAAATATGCATCATTTGCACCTTTTACATATGAATGTATGCCTGAAGTACTGCTCTGCTGGGCCTCATAATATCAAGCTCTTGAGAAAAGACCTTGCTTGATTTTTGCTTCTGTGCTGCTATCATAACTGTCAAACTATTTTTTTTTTAGGTGACTTAAATGAAAAATATATAGGCTGCCATGTCAGAACTTCAACTGAAAGAATCTGGTTAACGTGACTTAAAAATTCTGATTCAAAAATTCTGTTAAAGCTCACAAGTAAATAATGTGGGCAATCAAAGCAATTCAGTGTTATAATGCAAGTCTCCAGCATTTCTGTTGAACTCATTTGTTTTTGTTTGGTACTCTACCTTTCAGAAACAGTAAAGCACACACAAAAGCATGAGCAATACATTTACATAACAATCCAGCTGCTAAGTGGTATGCAACAAGATTAATACTGTTTGCAAGCCTGCTCTACAGCGTAGAAGGCGTGCTTAGTTTTGTAGTTGACGCATTGAAGATAGATCAGTTGCTCCTGCTCATTCTCAGGAACTGTGTAGCACTCTTATGAAGGATAAAAAAGTAAACGCAACTGACCCTGGGACTGGCTTTTGAGATGGGTATAAACGGTGTGAGCGGGGTTTGTGTTGATAAGCCATTCAGATTATGGAGCTTGTATTTTGCTGGACTTGGGAAGCGTTCAGCATTTTTGACTGACTCAGAGCTGACACTGTTCAGCTTCATTGTACTGGAGAGAAGAGCAGAGTGATAGGAGAACCATCTAGCAGTCGGTTAATGCCTCTACCTTAATTAGAAGAGGAAAGCAATCTGTGTTTGGTATTTTTGTCTGAGACTACTTCCAAACTTGCTACTCTGAATCTGACAGGGATCTACCCTGGCGCTCCTGCCAGGCGCTAGGTAGGTGGGTGTTTGCTCTTCCTTCTCAGGTGAGGAGAGCCACCTTAGTGCCTTCAGTGTTGTTATTCTTGTCAGCTTTGTGTCCCAGACAAGATGTGGCTTGCATTCAAGATTTCTTCTTTCTTAAATTTCATGCGTATATCCATATACGTATGTATATATACGATGATGTTAAGTATGTTGTCCTCTGATGCTCAGTGCCTCAGCAGATTTCTTTCACTGCCTTGTCCTTATTTCTCCGATTCCTCCAAAGAAATGCATTCTTTTCACAGAATCACAGAACGTTAGGGATTGGAAGGGACCTCAAAAGATCATCCAGTCCAGTCCCCACTGGCACCTCCACGTTATATCAACTTCCCTTCGGCATGTGGGTGCTCTTGGTTTTGACAGAAAGTTAGGTTGTCAGTCAAATGCATCCTTGCTATATCCATTAGCTGTGCTGCCAGTCACTGGTGCTGGGGCTTGCTGGCACAGTGTCGAGCAGCATAATAACTTGCTATTCCGAAGTGGCATAGCTTGAGGGAGAAGTTATATATGAAGGCTGTAATTTCATTATGGAGTATTGCAGTATGCTGAAAATGTGCTTCTATTATAATTAAAAAATCTAAGCGAAAGGAGCCTGCTTTTTGTAAAAAGCTTTGTCGTTAAGCTGTTGATCTTAATTTGGGTGGAGACATAAAGCTGCTTCCAGCAGCTTACTCTACCTGCTAGTGCACTTTCTGGTATTGGGGACGGACGTATTTCTGCTGTGGCACACGGGTGGTACCTCCGTTCCCTGCAGAGACGTGGGGAGTGCGTGTGCGGATGGGATGTGGTGACGCATCTCCTCTGCTGGAGCTGGTGTGTGACACTGGCACAGCTCGTAACGTTCCCTCTGTCCTTGTGTGGTACCAGAGCTGTCTGTCCGCAGGCGCTTTGGCTTTCCAGAGACACGTCATGGGAAGCTCACCCTAAATTGATCCCGGTTAACCTCGCTCAGAGTGATGATGCTGGAACATAAATCGGTAGCGTTTACGCTGGTGACTCAGCTTTCGGAGGAGCAGCAGCTCTGATGGGCTTTTATAAAAGCAGACAGGTGACAGCATTTGCAAGGACTTGTGTCTGGCCAAGAGCGAGTCTGCTGGCCTGGAGCAGCTGTGGGAAGGGAAGCCCTTGCCCGGGACAGGGCTGGCACCAGCCCAGCCCTGCTCTGCTGTGTGCCAGCGGGCGCCTGCTGAAAGGCCGAGCTTTCTGCCAGCGGTAATTGATTGTAGGCTTGTCTGGAGCGGAGCCCTGGTACCAGCTGTAGCTGAGTCTTTCTTCCTCTCTTCCAACCCCCCCCTTTTTTTACGCCCACCTGCTTCTTAAATACATTCTTTTTTCATCATCTGCTGAGCCTTTCTTATCCCTATTTTTAAGAATTGGGAGGAAGTCGGTGTGTTGGGTTTCTGGTAAATGTGCAACGTGTCCCCTGGGAACAGCGGTGCATAAGCTTCCAGGAAAAACACAAGATGACACATAAATCCTCATAAAAATCCCATTTACAGATTCATAGCTTCAGTACAAGAAACAAATCCTGGTATTGTGTAGTGGCTATAAACAGCACCCTGTGAGCTAATTATGACTTGCTGTGTCCCTAGCTGTGGCAGACCATAATCTGTGCCCTCCCACCCACCCCCGCCACAGGAAAGGACGTGAAGAGGATGAACAGCTAGCTGCAAGACACAGCTCTTCTCGGATTTATTTAAGAGGCAGATTTGTTGTTTTGCCATAGCTTGCAGAGGGAGAAAAATAAGGAGAATCTAGCATTCAGGTAAAAGAAATTGGCTTTAGGCCTCGTTAATCTACAATAGGTGGTGGGCAAGTGTGGTTAGGTAAACACGCTTTTGAAATCCATATTTAGTATTCTGCATGCTCGCTACTGTGTGTTTGCAGCATCTGTACTTCAGTGATAGATGTTACCACAAGCCTCCAAAGTCGGCTGCATCTGTTTAGTCAACTGCAGTGAAAGTAAAGCATCGGTAGACGCTTGTTTTTGGGAGGCTGCTAGTATTTTATTGTTTTCATCCTTCGGTGTCAATAAATCAAATGCGTGACTGCTCCATCCTAATAGCAGTTCATGGGCATATTGCTGTCAGTTTTTAAAATGGCAGTCAGTTCTCACTGTGAAGTTTAAATTAAGCAAAAATTTCCCATATGGTGTTTTTTCATCTTAGAGTCTTTGCTATTTGGGGAGGTATGAGGTCTCTTTATGCTGAGAAACCTCACGAGTGGTTGTGTTGGATGCCCGTGTTTCCAGTGCAGAAAATGTTTGACACTAAACAGGTTATAAGAAAATAAACCTTCGACTTTGATTAATTCTTGTTTTCAGAGTAGTGGCTTCACTTTGCAATAAGATGAAGATTTTCTGTTAGAGTATTTGTCTGTTAACCCTAGGAGAGGTTTTCTTTAGATTGATCAGAAAAAAGCTTATTTAAAAAAAACCAAAACAAAACCAACAAACCTTCCCAGTGCCAATGTAATCCTGCATGTCTCTGAAGCGTTTGGTCGGTGGTGGTATTCATGTGGATGTTCCTTGCAGTAACAGATCACTCCTTAAAAACACTTCAGTCCTGTAGCTACTGGGCATCAGTTGACTCGTGGTAATAGACGGAAGCACTTGGCACTGGGAAGCAGGTCAGAGCACAGCGGTCTGTGCCTTATTAAAAGCTTTAACTCTGTTTAACTCTCGCTTGCCAGAGGGGCGGTTGACACCGGGTGGCTTGATCCTGGATTTGAGACTTTTCAGCCATAAAAACACTGGCCTATGAAAGAAACATCGGCCTGACTGATAGTGCTAACTGAGCTGGCCCACTTGTGTCTCCGAATACAATGAAGGATGCACATAAATCTTTATGGGGTCAGGTTTTCTATGTGTCCAAATTGGATGCCGAGGTTAGGAGAGTGTTTCAGAGGTCGGTGATTAGCTTTCAACTAGAGTTTCTCCAGACTAATCTCTTAGGAAGGAAAGCTATCACAACTTATGGCAAGATAAACCTCCGGGCTATAACTATTGCCCCATTTCTGGGTTAAAGAACAAAGTAAAAACTGGAAAAATACAGCTGCTAGTATTTAAACTAAGATGGCCTTGCACAACTCGTTTTAATCCAGTGCTGAGTTCTGCATTATCTCAGCCCCAGGTAGCTATTTTCTGTGTAGCCTCTACAGTTCACGTTCTCCCAGGGTGTGACTGCAGGCCATCTAAGGGTTGTCTACAGAAGGTTAGCTTTACGTACTTGCATGGTTTCGATGCTCAACCCGTTTGAGGACTGTGTAAACAGCATTTTTGGTCTGTCTCACCTCTTGCCCTTTCCTTTCCCCTTCTCCAACTTGTTCCTCCAGGCATTTTTGGGTCCCTTACTCAGTGTCTTACCCATGATAGCATCTCAAGGGAATTTAGAAAGGTAGAGGTCTTTGAAGTTTCAACAAAACTGCCTGCGTTGGGTGTGGGATAAAGATTCCTGAGCATTGCTCTAGTATCTCAACCTTTCTGCAGGGTCCAGTGGAGCCGTGTGGAGTGGAGACATCATGATGTCCCAGCTCCAGGATAGCCTGCTTTCAAGCCTGTATCATCCCAGATGTCAGAGCACAGAACCAAGGGACAGTCAGCCCTTGGTGAAAAGCATCCTTTACCTGGAGAGGGAGCTCCCCTCCACCTGACCCAGCCCTGTACTGTGCTCTACAAAGGTTATTTTTGAGGATTTAAGTTATAAAGAAGCTCAGGTATTGCAATGTCAAGGAGAAAACTCTAGTTTCAGACTTTCTTTAAAGAGAGTTGGGTGGTGATATGGGGAGAATTAAGTTAGAGAGTTGGAACAGGATTGTTTTTGTCTTCTGATGATCCTTTAATTATATTCCTTAAAAATGAAAGATTTATGGTGTGTGTGACTGAGAAGGTGTTAATTGAACTGCTTAGTGCCTGCAAATCCCTAAACATTTTTCACCTGTCAGTTCTGTTTTCCTCTCTGTCTACAAATGCTTTCCAACTGAGCGTTAACTCCTTGTTAACACCATCAGACTGCAGTGGGACAAGGCTTAGCCTGATCTGTGCTGTGCTAAACCTAATGGACATGCTTTTGGACACGGAAAGCCTTCATTTTTCTCCGTCTGTATTGATTGATGTGATAAAATGTTACCTCTGGCTAAAAAGCTGGTATTTCTTACCCTTAGATCCATCACATCTCAAGCAGCACTGTTAAAGGCTGTCCTTTGTATTTTTCTGCCTACTCCTGATTTTCATTGTCTGGAGTGATTTCTGTTTTGACACGATACAGTTACGTGATTAATCTCTTCATACTTCAGTTTGCAAAGCCCAGCTCTCTTCTGCCGGTCAGATGTGGATCTGGTGCTCCCCTAGCACACAGCATCATCCATCCTCTGACCAGCCAGGGTGGCACTAGGCTGCGTTTCTCTGGGCCCTCCGCCTGCTGATGCCGCCTCATGTACTCTCAAAGCCATGGAGATAGAAGACTGCCTTCTCTGAGACTTAGACCAGGGCTGTATTCTTCCTGCTTTTGTGTGATGGCTAAACTTACAGATTATTTTTGCTTCTTAAGCTGCTTGAAGTCCTGACTTGAGTGGAGATAGGATGGCAGGGGGAGCAGGAGTGAACTGATAAACGTGTGGTGCAGTGTTTACCTCCCAGCCATTAGCTGGAGACTGCTCCCAGCCCAGAGCCTGGCTGTGTTGTAGCTCTAGGGCTCCGAACTGCTTTTGCTTCTGTCAGTGACCGACTGCTCTGCCTGGAAACCAGGCTCCAGTTGTCAGACATGGTTATCTCTGGACTGCTGCAACCTTTGCCTTGGTCCTGGTGGGCAGCGCCTGCCAGCTTCGTTTGGTCCTCAGGGAGCCACTTAAGCCTCTCTGAATGAGGCTTCTAGTAAATCATACTGTCAAGGCCTGGTTTTTTGTGAGTACCTAAAGGTAGTAGAGCTAATGAAATGGTGGCTCCTTGATGATACGTTTGTGGATAGCCCTTGTGCCTACAAGGGTTGAGGACACTAACATTTTCTAATTAATGACGTACCGTGGAAGAAGTGAAATCAGGGAAATACAGGTGAGCTGTATCAGCCCAGCCATCCTCTTAGCAGCTGGTGGTTAGAGACAGTGACTTGCATTGGGTAAATAAAACTGAAGTTTCTGAATGCGAAGTTTTAGAGCCAAGGGATGCTGTTACACAGAGGGAGCATGTGGACAGGCTATGGGTAGAGGTGCACACAGGGAGAGGTGTCTGACAGGTTGAAAGCGGTGTCACTGAACGTCCCTCTGTGCTGGCCCTTCTAAAGAAGGCTCCCAGGGATGCACTGGGAAAGGTGTGTCCTGAAGGCTTTCTCCAAGCAGTGGTGCAAGAGGCTTGTGGAAAACTGCTGCTGTTGATGACTGTCTTGCTTCTGCAAATTACAGATCAGCATGTGCAGGCAGAGGAAGTCAGAGCTGGAAGTCTTGTGGATCACTCAGTGAAGTTTCCTGCTGCTGCAAGCACCAGTAGCATCTTACTCCTTCCACACACTTTATTCAAATTTTTCTTAACAAACAGTTGAGTTTCTTATCCCCCATCACTTAGCTGCTCCAGAAATTCAAATAAGCTTGTTGAGTCCATGCAACTAGTGGTGAGCTATGGTTAGTGATTGGTATGCATAGTCCCTCTGTAGTTATAAAACTCACAGCCCAGTAAGTTAAGTTAAATCACACTCGGGAGCAGAGCACCAGTGCTGCTTTAGCAGGAAAGGAAAGGATCCGTTCCCTTTTCTGTGTGTAAATGCTGTATTCCCAAGGAAAACGGACTGCATGTGTGTAGTGGAACCAATGTTTTGCCAAGGTATAATACTCCCAAGTCAGTATCCATGTGTCTGCATCGCATTTCAATGTGTAGCTGCACTGATCAAAGGAGTACTAAAAAGTTTCAGAATCATGGACTTCTAGTTTATACAGTTGGTTCAAACTTGACCCCCAGGGCTCCCATAATCGGGTTAACTGTGCCAGAACGGTTTGACCTGCAGGAATTGGAGCTGTCAGTTCAGCTTCTGCTACATGCATCATGGTTGGTACCAACTGGTGCGCTTTTCTGCCAGATGGTCTAAAAATTGGTGAACAAGTATTACAAATTTTCCTACCTCTGTCACATTCTCTGGGAGTCAGCGCGGAGGCATGGTGCCAGAAGGCTGCAAATGTGACTTGGCAGTGTGGCTGCTGCTGTTTTGTCTGCTTTCAGTGGAACTGGCACTTAGTTTTGCATGGCTACTTGATTCAGTTTAACGTGTAAACCTGTATGGTGTATTTTGTAGTTCTCTATAAGAAACACCTCCTAAGCTGCCCATAGCAAACAAACTGTTGTTTCCTTCCAGATAGGAAGGGGGGTTTTCTGCATTTATGGAAAGCTGGAAGTAGTTTCTCAGAAGTCAAACTTTCATTTGCACGTAGGTACATGTGTAGATCTCTGTGTATGTGCCAGGGGAGAGAAGGGCTAACCATCCATGCAGCTCTGTGTTTGACACACAAAGCTTCTGTTAGGGGAATAGTTACCTTTATGGTGATAATAACAATAGTAGCTATTGGTGAGAGACTAAGAAGTCAAACCTTGAGCCTTCTGTGAGAATTTGTGTGTAATTCAAATAGCAAAACAATCGCAGTGTTAGAGATGAAGACATTTTAAATTATATATATATCCCAAACCCTAGCACTTTATACTGAGGGTGGCAATGTCACTTTAAGCCAATAAAGCTTTTCCTATAGCTTGTGGACGAAGATTCGTTCCATTTCTGGTGGGTTTTGGTTTTGTCCTTTCCTGAGTGTTTTGGTGGGGTGGCTTGATCAAATGCTGCGTGCTTTGGAAAGAGACCGATTGTGTGATGTATTGCAAGAGTGATTTTTCTTTTGTAAGGTATGATTTAATGTAAGACTGACTGGGGCTCTTTATTTTTAAGCTGTATCAGCTGGAGTAGTTACCACAAGAACCTGCTAGCCAGCAGTGACTATGAAGGCACCGTCATCCTTTGGGATGGATTCACAGGACAGAGATCCAAGGTCTACCAGGTAACGTGCAATCAGTGAGCAACACTTCCCCACACCATCTGCCTCTAGTCCAGCAATAGGGCTTTTACATTGCACATAGTGAAATGGATGCTCCTCCTGTTTGGTAAATGTGTCTCATCTGCATGGCCTTATTGAGCTGTACTCCTCTGAGGAAGGCAGCTGTATCCTCTTCTCACAGCCGTGAGGCAGCTGATGTTTTCTTGCCACTGCTTTTGGGTAGGGAATCTGCAAGGGAGAAGCGAGTTTCTGGAAGCTGTCTCACCTTTCTTTAGAAACTTCTGTCCCTTTGTACCTGTTCCACTTCAGTCTTTGTCAAAAGCCTTTTGTAAAACCCTGCAGTGATTACTACAGATACTCGTAAAGTGAAAAGCGAAATGCAGATATAAATGACAAGGCTGGGAGAATGGAGCAGGAGGCAGAACCCTTCCCAGTGCAGTCCTGTGCAGCAGAGCAGCATATGCATGCGGATGGGCTGAGCTAAACAGTGAGACTGGATCCAGGAGAGTTTGCAGTTTGAACGTCGTGTGTTCTATATGAAGGATTCTCAGAGGCCTGCGATCAGAGCAGCAAGGAAGTGCTCCTTCTGGGGAGAGCCTGGAGGTGCTGCAGGCTGTTGTGTAGGCTGCATAGTGCACTGAAACTGCTGGGAGACAATGAGTGGACTGCAAACTCGCCTTCAGGTCTCCCTTCTTGACGGTTCATCATGAGTTTTAATTCCTACTTAAGCTCGTGTTTACTTCTTCATTGTGTTTTGGCTATTTTATAATGCTTGTTTTCACTAAACCTTTGCGTATCTCAGTTAAAAAGAAATTATCCTGGACAAAATACATCTTGTCTGTTTTCCTTACAAATATATTTTGCATTTCTTTATGAGGCTGAATAATGAACCTAGAGAGGACCAGCTGTTGCTTATGTTAAAACAAACTCATTTTGCTTCCTGTCAGATTACTTGAAATTTTTATTTGAATTTGCATAGAGGCATACACACTGGCATCTGCTTCGCATCCATTAGAAATCCTTTAGTGACTTTGTCCTGGCGAGCGTTCACGCCGTAGTCTTGCAAGCCTGTATGAAGGCTTTCAACAAAAGGTGTATCTGAATTTTGGGTTTCATTCAATGCAGTGTTTTGCTTCCACGTGGGGTGTGCCAGCATAGCAAGTAGAGCTGTTGTGTGTTCTGGGGAAAAGCATGCAGCCTTGTAAGAACAGTAGTGGAAAAACACAGGATTAGACACCAAAAGGTATGTTTAATAACTCAGTAGGAAGGTGAGGATTTCTCGGGTTTTCGGAGAGGAGGTGTTTGAAATGGCTTTAAACAGGCTTTTGAACAGCTTGAAATGTACATTTCCTGAAATAATTTTGTTTTGTTTCAAGTAAAAAAAATCCGTTTTCGTTTTTAAAGCTGCCTTTTGCCGTGTTCTGCTTTCACGGCATGGCTAGCACGCTGGAAGCATCGATCTGATTGGGGGAAAGAGAGATTTTTATTTTGCTGAACACAGTAAGCTTTTCTGTCCAGGACTCTCCTGATAATTTACCAGACAGCATGTGTTCTTTCTTTTACTACTTTATCAGATTAAAGCTCGCTACCTTGCAATATTTTTCTTGTTTCTCTAAACAGGAGCATGAGAAAAGGTGCTGGAGTGTTGACTTCAACTTGATGGACCCAAAGCTATTGGCTTCAGGCTCCGATGATGCCAAAGGTATTATTCTCTTTCAGGCTTCGTGCAGAAGGCTCACACTTCGTGTATTCCCTTTGAGGAACAAAAATGTGATATTTCAAGTAGCTGATTCCTCAGCTGCCTTCGATATTGTAGTTGGCATGGTAATGTATAAAGATATTACTGAACTGTCTGGATCTTAGAGCAGGAGAGGCTTTGTTTGGATTAAGATTTCTTGGTGCAGCGTTCACATTTTCAGGTAATACGCTCTCTTGCTAGCATTTTCCAGGGCACTAAACAAAGCAAAATGTGTTTTTAACATTAGTTAAGCTAGTTGAGTTAAAGCCTTGGGGCTTTTCAAAAGAACAGCATGTGTTTATATTTCAAAAATGAGGTTGTCGGGTTGGGGGGGAAGCAGAAGTTAAAAATGCCTGCTGCAGCTTTACCTGTAGCTCTGAATGTTAAAGGTTGTGCACACCAAGCAGCTTCCTGCTTCCACGATGAGGGACTGAGTGGGCGCGCTGGGAGCAACTCGGCTCTCCACGCTCCGGGGTCCACTTGTCAAAGGGCTTTTGGAGACAACCCTTGAGACAAGCCCTTTTTAAACATACTGGTAGAAGAATGTTCCTCTTCTGAGAAGAAATAGGAAGCTTCTAAAGACAAGGATAGCAGTGGGTGATATGTAGTATTCCTCATCCCTAATTACCAAGATTTCATCTGTAATATGTTTACGATATCAAATTAGAGTTGTTAGACAGCAAGAGCTTTAGTCAGTGGGAATCAACTCTCCCAGATGGGCTGGTGCAGCTCTGGACAGAGCTTTTCATGGTTTGCATTGAAATTCTTAATTAATTTTTCATAAACACTAAACTTTGCGAGCTGCTTGCCCCCTCTGAAATGCTTTTAAATTCCGTTTCAAGAGAACGCTGTGTTAGTGTCCCTCAGTTGCATTTGGCAGTCTTAACGTAGCTGGTAATTCCATTTATGAAATCCATCTTTACTGTTTATATTTAAGGTGGATTTTAAATATTTTTTTATACACTTTCACCCTGCTTTTTGGTGGAAGTCGAGAGTGTTTTCTGTGTGTTTTAAATGCAGCAGGAGTGAACATTCACCTTGTAAATTATCAGCCTCTTCATCACGTTGCTCCCCACTCACGCTATGCATTTGAAAAAGCTTATCTGCCAGGTAGACGTGCATTTATTAGCATGTTAACAAGTCGTCCACTTCTGCAAAGCCAGCTGCAGGCAGAGCGCCTGTCTCTAGTTTAACAGTTCACTTCTTCAGTAATAGTTTCTAAAAGCGTAGTGTTTACTTAGAAATTATTGTAATAAAGTCTGCAGATCTACATAACATGCATTTCAATTCACAAAGGTCTTTTGAAGGTGTATTGGGGTTTTAGTGAATAAACCGAGGCTGGAACATTTTATCCTTTTACTTCTGCCATGGGTTGCTTGTGATTTGCATATGTGACAAGCCCATGAGAGAGAAGTGGAGTGCCGTGTGGAAGTGTTGGAAACAAACACAGATTTTTACGAGTCTTCAAGGCACAGAGCAATAGCAGCAGATGTCCAGACTAATGTCATAGTGTCCACCTTCCATTTCAGTGATCCCATTGAAAGGGTTAAACGTGAGGAAAGGGCAGCACCTATGATGAGCTGTCTTAACTCAAACCTGCCTAAGTCAAACTTCTGTCTTTCTGCTTGTGTTCAGGAGTGTTTGGTTGAGCTGTGCCCAGCTTTGAGTGCACGTTACACACATTTGGCCAGGTACAGCATCTGATGGGAAAGCCAAGCTCTATGCACCCTTCCTGTCCTCTCTTACTTCTCTGTGTGTGTGACACCACACTGGGTTTTTTCTCAGTGCTGAGGGAGATTGGTGTGACCGGAGCGATTGCGGCTAATCTCGCTGTGCTTCCCTGGAAAGCAGGCACGTAACATTTTCCTGTCAAGTGATCAGGACAAGCCAGCAAAAATGTGACAGCTCTGCCAGTTCTTCCCGCTTGCCTGTGTATCTGCCTGTCTCTTCTTGGTCTTTTCAGGTTGGGAGCTAACTTCTTAAATGCATGGTATGGAAAATCCTATCAGCAGTGCTTCACAGCTGCCTCTGCCAGGGTTCAGGCACAGCAAAGGGTGTGCTAATGAATGGGGTGCTGTTAGGGATAAAATGATTCTGATATAATTAGAAACAGCATCCTTGGGCCTTGGATCCTGCGTTGTCCTCATTGTTAGGTGAAGATAATCCAGGATGCTTATCTGTGGGAGATCTACTTTAATAGCAGATAATGAGAGCATAAAAGCATTATTATATTTGAAGTAACTACGATGTGTATGAAAACCTCCCTTTTATCTACAGTTGTTGTGCCGTTCCCTTTTAAAGGGGTGAAGGCAGTTGTGTATGTCTGTAAGGACCCAAAGATGTACACCAATTAGATAGCAGTGAGCGAAATTGAAGTGTTTACTTGTGCTACAGGCAGCTTGGGGAAACAGCACAGTCTTAATTTCAGTTCTTTTATGCACATAATAATGGCAGGAGCTGTGATTCTCATGTAAGTAAGAAAGAATGAATTTCTGCTAGTGGAGCAGAAGAGATTATTTGATTTTGTGAAGGCAAAATGATGCTATCAGAGTGCCAGGATAGGGCTGGAGCTAGTGCACTTAGCTAATGACTTAGAGCTGCTTCTCAACCCAGCATCCCTGTCTGTTCTGGATTGGGAGTGGAGCTTAATGGCCATGGTAAAGTTAGCAAGTGAGATAGAGCATAATATTTTGTGGTGCCATGTGGGTAGAATTTAAGTCTCCACTGTGGTAGGGATCTGTTCTGGAGTGATGAAGCATTTTTTTTTCCTCTGCCCTGGGGTTGTTTTTGAAGCTCAAAAGGATACAAGCAGTACTGACAAATTAAATGGAAGAAAGAGTCCTGATTTTATGTGGATGCCCCCTCTCTGGAAGTGTTCAAGGCCAGGCCAGGTTGGATGGGGCTTTGAGCAACCTGGTGTAGTGGGAGGTGTCCCTGCCCATGGCAGGGGGGGTGGACTGGATGAGCTTTAAGGTCCCTTCCAACCCAAACTGCTCTGGTTCTGTAAACTGTGGTCTCCTCACTATTTCCTGTCTCAAAATGGAGAGGTGGAGCACAGCAGGAGCACCTGAGAGCTCCACACCATAGTGAGAGGTTACCTTTCCTTGCCTTATGGTAAGGAGAAGTGTGAGCATCTGTTCCGTTACATATGAGGAGTTCCCCTGCTGCCTTGGTAAGTGAGACCATGGGTGCTGGTCCTACAGCTGTTTAGTGTCTGTGAATTCCGTGGGGCAAAGCAGATTTGCAGTGCTGGCTTCGTAAAAAAGAAGCGTGGCCTTTTAGAGCAGGAATTAACCTGAGAACTGCACATCAGAGTTTGCTCCCCAGCTTTGTTGAGGACTTGCAGAGAATTGTTTGGGGTTTTATTTTCAGTGATACTTGGCTCATTCAGCTTCTGCTGACTTTAACTGGAGGTACAGGTATTTATTATGGCTCTTGAAAATACCAGGTTGCAGTTTCGGTTTGCTCATTTTCGTGGCTAAAAGAAGCTTGATAATTTCCTGGAGATTTGTGGGGTTGCTGGATTCAGTCGGGAATGCCTTGAAAGGTTATGAAGATGTTGGTAGTTAAAATTCCAACCAAAACGTCCAGCTGGCTGTGTCTTAGTGCAAGGAGGAATACCCTGCTGTCACTGCCTGCTGACAAGCACCGCGTCACATCATCCTCCTGACCTGCACAAGGCAGTAGAGCAAAAATTTTGCCTAGCACGACAATTCAGCAGCTTCCTTCTTTCCAAATTGGTGCAAATGAGGAGTTTTCTGGTAGCAGTATCCTATTCCTGGTTTACAGCTTTTTTGGAGTAACAGCAGCCTCTCCATCGCACAGCCAGGTAAGAGTTTCAGGAGTGCCAGGCTGGATCAAATATCCTGACTATAAGTGTACCAACTGTGTGCATCAACACCTTCAGCTATTCCAGCACAGGCTTCTGCCTCTTTTAGTCAGTGTTTAGACGTGGAACTGATGCATACAAAATTAATTTATAAACTTATGTATTTGGTGTAAAGCTTTAAACAAATAAAAAAATGTCTTGAAAAGACCTAAGCATTTTAAACAGAAAAAGCTGTTCTGGAGGCATCTTTGTGCTTGTTTGGTGAGGGGTAGAGATTTGGCCGTGTAGAAATGTCTTTCTCAGCAGCTGCAGAATTAGGAAACATATGCCTGGAGAACATGTATTTTAGAAGTAGTCAATCTCAGATGGTTGCTTGTCTCATCAACACAATTCTAGGTGTTATCAAGACATCTGTACCTTGTATAATTACTGCCTCGACCGCAGCAAATAAAGCCTACCCTTATGAATTATGCTTTATTAACCTGTCAGTTCTTTTTAAAAAATAATGGGCAGTTCTAGGTAAAACTTGACATGTTTCATTACGTGGTGTTATGTGCCGCATACATCCTTTTTTATGGTGCTGCCTGAGATATAATGGGAGCCCAGCGTATCCCACAGCAGTTAGATCAGGGAAATTGCAGGCTCTAATCTGTGTCTGTCAGTTGTAACGAATATTATGATGGCTTTGAGCATGCAGGTTGACTCTTCACCGCGTTAAATGGCTCGGTTTATGACCTGAAAACTTGAATGGAAACAGGAGCCGAGTTGAAACGGAGCCCTCAATTAGCTTCTGCTGCAAAACTGGGACCAGATGGTCACTTGTTTTAGAGGTGGTGTCAAGGAGAAACCTGGCTGCCTTGGATGCAACTTTAAACATTGATACCTGCTTGGAAGGCTTCGAGACAAGCCTGTGTGGTTTTGGTAGTAGGGTTGGGCAGGGCATTGCTCTGAGCTTGGAGATCGTGTCCGCTCCCTGCGTGCCTCACGTTGAAGCGGTGTTGTCTGCCAACAGCGTCCTCTTGTAAGCGTGGTATAAACTTGCTTCCTGTACCATCTCATCCAGGAACTTGGTGTCTTCTGCTGCCTCTGCAGCTTAGACCACACACCTCCCAGTGTCTGTTCGTTAAAGCAAAGTGCTGATGTTTCATTGTTTTGCAGAATTTGCTTTCCTGGCTCTGTTTCCTTCCTTGCCCCCAAGCGTAAGATGATGCAGGAGGTATATCATCTGGTCTCATTCCTGAATGTCTTAAGCTCTGCTTGCAAAGCTGTTGGTTTCATTTAGCAAGGTAGCTAGATGTTTAGAGTGACTGTTATAGCTCTGGTTAAATGAGAATGGATTTATTTTGGAAAGCAAACGACAGGGTGAGTGCTGTTCTCATTGAATTTTATGTAATGGTTATGCAAATCAAGTATGCATCAGTGTTTGTATTCCTGGTGTGTGTGTGTGCTGCATTATAGTGGTTACAGACAGCTGTCAGATACCCACGCAGTGCCACGTCTGCAGTGATTCCTTGGTGTGCTCTGAGCAATCACCTATTTCCTTCACTCTTGAAGCAGTTCTAGGTACGGTCAGAAACAGCGCGGTCTTGTTGCTTCTCATTGCTTGCCATACTGTTGAAAAGCATTCCTCCTTTTCCTTGACCATCTTGAGTAATCCATGCAGAAACTTGCTGCTGCTTCCAAGCTCCTAGGAAAGGCTGACAAAGAGGCAATACAGAGGGGTCCTCGGCGTGTGAGGACACACACCATAAGACTGCTTACTTCATTTATTGACCACAGTACAAGATTCCTGTTCCTTTGCTGACTTGCTTGCTGCACCTCCAAAGTGAGCTTTCTGTAAAAAGACAGCAGAGGGCCCGTTGGCCACAGATCTGAAGAGGCCCAGCTTGGCAGCTCTTGAGGGGATTAAGGCTCCATGTAGCTCCTGCGTGTTCAAAGGTTGGCTTCAGCTTGCTCTCCTTCCTGCCTCAGCGTGCTGATCATGGTACTCAAGTACAGCACAGCGCAACGCCCTCCTCAAGAAAAGGAGGAAGGGAGAAGATTTAAGTCTCATTTAAGTCTGCCTTGTAGGCACGGGTGGGACTTGATGCCAGTGGGCTGTCCCTTCACCTGGACTGAGAGCAAAGTGTTTCATCTGTAGCTTTAAATGGCAAAGTTGTCTGTGTGTGCCTGGCGCTCTTCATCTTTTAGGGTTGAATGGTGCTTAAGTGTTTGTGGAGGGTGGGGAAGGCTGCATTGTGAAAAGCTGCTGGCATTTTCTGTTGGTCATCCTGTGAAGCACTGAAGTGAGTATGTGGGGGAAGAGCTCATTCTGTACCACGAGGTTTAATTGGTGTTCAAACAGTCTCATGGAACAGTGGAGTTCCTTGTACCAAGGAAATAGATCCTCTTTGGAAGCCAGCATACCGATTTCTTTCCTGCCTGTGCCAGTTTTTGAGAATAAAACAAGTTGTTCTCACTCACTGTGCTCAACCATACAATTAAGTCTATTTATTTTGCGCAAAGCAATTCTGCTGTGGAGCATGGAGTTCTTGCATCCCAGCTAAGGGGAACAAAAAAGATGCAAGCCTTCCTCCTCTTGGTTGTGTGGATCAGCACTCCAGTAGCCTTGAATCCTGAGTTTTTAACATGGTTAGTCACCCGCTCTGATGTTCTCAGCCGTGTGAGATGTGGACTTCCAGCATCTCTTGTGTGTATGGAGGTGGGCAGAATATTCACAGCACACACTTAAGAATGTTCTCAACCTTACCAGCCGTCAGCAATAACTGACCCTTTATAATCACTGACATCTTGGCAGGAGAGGCTTTTCACAATCTTATTTATTAAATAACTAGATTTTATGCCTTTCGGAGCACAGAATCACAGAATGTTAGGAGTGGGAAGGGACCTTGAAAGCTCCCCCAGTGCAACCCCTGCCAGAGCAGGATCACCAGAGCAGTCACACAGGAACACGGCCAGGGCTTTGGGTGTCTGCAGAGAAGGAGACTCCACAACCTCTCTGGGCAGCCTGGGCCATGCTCCATAACCCTCACACTGACAAACTTTGTCCTCATCTTCAGCTTGAACCTCCTGTGCTCCAGCTTGGGACCATTGCCCCCTGTCCTGGCATTGGCCATCCCAGAGCAGAGCCTGGCTCCTTCCTCCTGACACTGCCCTTTCCAAATTTATAAACATGAATGAGGTCACCCGTCAGTCTCCTGCTCCAAGCTCAAGAGCCCCAGCTCCCTCAGCCGCTCCTCATAAGGGAGATGAGTGATTTGTTTGGTTGGCTGGTTTTGTTTACGCATTTCTCTTTTTCTGTTTTTCTAGTGAAGCTGTGGTCTACCAACTTGGACAACTCGGTAGCAAGCATCGAAGCCAAGGCTAACGTGTGTTGTGTCAAATTCAGCCCCTCTTCTAGGTATCACCTAGCTTTTGGCTGTGCAGGTAGGTAATAGGGGTTTTGGGCAAAAGAGATGCTGTTTCTCTCTTCCTTTGTTTCTTATTCCCCCCTCCAAAGATATGAAGTTGGCTGCTGTGCTCAGGACTGAGGTGTCTTTGTGGTTAAAATGCCTCCAAGTAAGATTTCCAAGTGTGCAGTCACCCAGAAGACATCATTATGCCCAAGTGTCAGCTTTATCCTGCAGCCTGATTTTTTAATTTGGGTGCCTCTGTCAGAGCTCATGAAAACAAGTCGCCTGGTGTGCTCATTGAGATTGCTGAGACAACAGACAAACCTCTGCTTTGACAGTCTGCTAGCAAAGTTAATGTGTGAGCACAATGACAGTTGTTTTTTCTGATTTATAGCATTGTTCTGTAAATGCTACAAAGCCGTACTGGGAATTTTAACTGGTTTACCTGAGGCGTGCTGCAAAATGGTGGCTGTGTGTGTTTCCCATAGCTGCAACAACAGTCCCTGTGGGTGGGCTTGTGTTTTCCTAGGTTGGGCAGATCATCGCTGTTAACGTTGGGTTTTTAAGCAGTCAGTGGGGAAGGCATGACGAGCCTTTTATTCACTTAGATTGAGTTGTTCATGGTGATAATACAAAGATCTTTGAGCAGAGCAGGTATCACTTTGGGAGGAAACTATCGTGCTATGCACGCTGCAACTGAAACTCAGGTACCTATAAATGTTTAACCAACTCTGCATTTTCTTTCTCCTCGGGGAGTTTTAATGCACTTGTAACTAGGTGTTCTGGCAACACGCGCTATCTCTGGGCTTCAGGAGTTGTTGATCGTTCTTGCAACCACTGTCTTGCCATTTCATTTAGGTGTTCCCATTTCCAGGCCGATTCTACTTAGGTTGTGACTCTTAGGAGGGAAAAATAAATTTGCATTTTGATACACTGGCAAAAATAGATTGAAGTTGGAGTGTAAAATATTGACTTGCTTGACAGGCATCTCACTGTAGTTTAGTGAATTACATGCAAGAATAGAATTGAATTACAATACCTGCTAACGGCACTTGAATGGAAGGGGCTATCTGTGAAATGCTCCAGGGAAAGACGAGATCCAGCTCCAAATGGATCTGCTGCTGATTAACATAGATATGCAAAAACACCATGAAACAGAATTCTTATAAATCAGTAACCGAGATCCTTTTCCCCCCGGAAGCCAGCGCAGGGATAAGGCACAGCCGTATCTGTGAAGGCTTTTGGAGCTGTAGCACGCACAGGATGGAAGCAGACAGGAGTGTCTCTGCCCATGCTTGTGCCTCACAAACTGCAGCG